CCGGGGTTAAGTCATCTGCCCAACTAGCAAGAAAGAATCGGAGTTGAAAATGAAGTCAGACTGTCCTCCCTATTGGCCTCCCTAATAGGCATGTCAGCCTCATCCTGAAGCTTGAGGAAGGCTGATGGAGCTCTTCGAATCTTCCCTGGCTGTGCAGATCCAAGAGGCATCTACAGCAAATGGTGCTACCCAGTCCCAAGGCCTCCTGACTCCAATGGGCCAGAACCGCTCCCACCAGGGAGTAAAGTTTTACCTCTCCTTAGAGATGAAGCAGGCTACAAATACAGCTTTAAAAGAAAAGGCTTAAATTACAGTAAGTTATCTGCAGCTTGTGCAGAGCTCTGCCTGGATTAACCCTAGCTATAAAAAATTAGAGATACAAAAAGAAAGAACAGCTAGGTTGAAAGAGGCACAGGCTGGGCCAAGGAAAGGTTCACACGCAATGATATAGCTGGACGTTCATCTGAACCTACTGAATTTCTGGTTGCCCGTGGGTTCATACTCATAGGACCCCAGCCTCTCCTCACCTTTTGGAGACAAAACCCAGACTCCACCTTGCCTCCTTTCCTCTTGCTGAAGTCAGTACCCTTCACACTGAAATGCTTGTTCCTTGAAGAAACGCTGTGATGGACGCCAACCATCATTTCTCTCATGTTCTGGCTAGCACCCTGTTCTGCTGGGCTCCAAAGAAAGAGCTATCCACCCACCTACTCCCAAACATGAACACAGCCAAAGGTGGACTTCTCTGCCCCACATGTGCATTCAGGTATTGTCCAAGGGCGCACACGGGGCTAGGAGCTATTGATTCTCTGAGAGGCTTCAAAAACAGATAGGGAAATCAAAAGTCTCGAGCTTTGCGGAGGGATACAGGGGTAATCCTGTTATTTATTTAAAGTCATAAAACCAAGTGAACACCAATCAAATATTTGTAAAGGATTATTTCATGTCTATCTTCCATATAAAACTAGAGCTCACTCTAAAGGCAATTCAGACAAAGCACTGCTCCAGATCCCAATGTACAAGGGGAGCCAGAGCCTCCCAGTGCTGAAGATTCACTAAGGATGTAAAAAGACAAAGAAGGGTCACTGGAAGCATGCTCTGGCCTCCTCAGCTCCTGAGACCTTCTGTTTTCAATCAGAAGAATTCAGGAAAGACAGACAGAGCACAGAAGACAGCGGTTATTACAGAGTAAGGTAGGAGTTGGTAGTGTTCAAAAAAAAAAGGGGGGCCACTGAGGAGAAAAGGGCTCTCATGTGTGAGAATTGACAGTGATCAAAGAGACCTTTGTGCTAGCCCACATTCTGAGGTAGACTTTATACTCGGGAAAAACAGCTTTCCTGAAGGGGCAGTCCTGTCCAGGTGTTGGGACTTAGACTAACTCTATAAGGCGGAAAACAATGGTATGGCTCCACTCTTTACCAGGGAACCAGCTAGATGATAACTGGAGCATCTTTTGAGTGGTTAAGAATGCCGTGTCTCCACATGGGCCCTGTGTGGATCTGAGCTAGGTTCTGTGCATATGCTTATGGCTGTGTTGCTGGGCGTCCTTGTGGCGCTCCCAACGATGGGAGTTGGGGATGTCTCTGAGTCTTTTGCCTGCACTTGGAACTCTTTTCCTCCTTCTGGGTTTCCATGTCCAGCTGTGGTATGAGTATTGCGTATAGTCTCATATCTTTTTAGACCATGTTTGGTGGATATCCCTGAGAGGCCTGCTCTCTCTTGCGCTCTCTCTCTCTCTCTCTCTCTCTCTCTCTCTCAACAGAGAAAGAATTAATCTGGAAGCGAGAGGAGGTGGGGGAAGAAGGGGCTGGGAGGAGTGTAGGGATAGGAAACTGTGGTTGGGATCTAATGTATGAGAGAGAAATAAAAGTTAAAAAGAGAAAACAAGGCCATATCTCCAGCCAAGGACAAAAAGAAATGCAACTTAGATCCCATTCTTTGACCCTGAATTATATCACAGGCTATATTAAAATGAATTTAAAAAGTGAAACAAACTTTACAGGTTAATTCCACTGCCCCTTGAAGGACTTCAGCAAAGCTTTGCTACCTCCAGCGTCCTCCCTTACATGGAACATTCTACATTTCCAGGAGGAGCTACTGTTACGCTTCCTCCATCCTTTCGCGTGGCATTTCAGGCTCTAAGGAGAGGCAGTCGTGATATTTTCCTCTTCATTAAATTGACTGTGTTGCCAGGGAAACAGAAGGTGAGGTCCAAAGGAGACGTTGAGGGAGGGGTCCAACCTCGATGACCTATAAGTTTGCCCTTTTCTATAGCTGCGTACCATGTTGACCCTCGCTTTTAAAGTAATAAGTATGAAGGGAGAGAAAAGCCATCTCTGAATAAAGGATGAAACATCAGAGAGCCTAGCTGAGCAATCTTCTAAAGAGGTGGAGAGTGTTAACCCAGGGGTGATGGAGGAGGGTTATCTGTCTATTGTGTTATTTTCATTGGTCAATAAAGAGACTGCCTTGGCCCCTTGATAGGACAGAAAATTAGGTAGGCGGAGAAAACAGAATAGAATGCTGGGAAGAGGGCTATGAGGCAGAAGCCATGGAGCCTGCCACCAGGTCAGGCATGCTGAATCTTTTCCGGTAAGCCACACCTCGTCGTGCTATACAGATTATTAGAAATGGGTTAATCAAGATGTGAGAGTTAGCCAGTAACTAACTCTCTAGAGATAATGGGCCAGGCAGTGCTTAAATGAATACAATTTGTGTGTTGTTATTTCTGGAACTAAGCTAGCCGTGCGAGAGCCGGGTGAGGCAAAAAGCAGGCCTGCCCGCAGTTCCCTACTACACAGGGGCTGAACCGCTCTGAACTTGGGGAGAAGGAGTACTCCACTTACCAGCCCTCAACTTCTATTATGAGCTTGAAGGAAAGCCAGATTACCCTCCTGTCTAAGTGTCCAATTGTCTTGGTGTGGCCCTGATCAGCGGGAGAGGTGTTCCGACATTCACCTAGAATCCTGCACAAGGGTAGCCAGAGCCTACACCCAAGAGTGAAGCCAGGTCGTTGCCTAACTCCAGAGCTTCCATATATAGGTACACAGCTACTTTCACCAGCCTCCTAACTGGTCAAGAACCCTTAGGTTTGGATACATGGGCTTTATTGACTAACTCACTGAATTAGTAAACCACTGAATGGTTAAAGTACACAGTACACATTCCATTGTCTCAAGTTTATTTCCTGCGTTCTTCATTCTTCCGCCTCCAGTCTCTTAATAGGAGCTATCTTCCTACAGATCATAGCCCTTTCTTTCTTGAAAGCCTCCCATTGCTTTTCATTACCAACGGGAAGGACAAAATTCTTAGCATGGAAAATGAGTCCCTCTGTGAGTAGCCCCAGATTGTCCTGCACAGGGTCATCTCTTGTGACTTCCACTTTGCTGCTCTGAGGCATAGTCATGTGGTCAGACTCCTGGAATCATTTCTCCTGATGCAGATGCACACACATCGTTCCCACAGTCATAAATAATGGCCATGCATGTTGAGGATGCTCCTGTATGGAAATTTGTCTGGTTGTCTTTCATCATCACCGTACTGTTTCCAATGGATTTACATTGAGGATAAATTATATTACCATGTCTTGTCACAATTAGTAGGGATCTGGCTGAAGCAGCATTTGCATGTTCTCAGCCCTCAAGCCACTGTCTCTCCGCTCTATCCTCTCTACTCTGTTCTTTGGAAAGGCAGCCTCACCACAACCCGTACTCAATGGATGCTCCACCTCCTTGAGAGGGGACATCTACCCACGTTATTGAACCCAATGTCTGAAAATATTATTTCCTCTTAAATGCCTTTTCCACTCACAGATCTCTGTAAACCACTTGGCTTCTCCACAGTAGACCTCTTTGATTTGGGGTAGTCAATAAAACTAGTGTTAAAAAGGAAAGGTGTTTAAAATCTTAATTAATTAATTAATTAAAGTATTTTTACATTTCTTCGGGAGGACATATCTTCTAGATCTGAACTATTTACTACATTTTAAACAGACAGTTTGTAGTCTATTTACTATTTACAGAATATAAGGAGTATCTGTTCTTTATATAAAGAAAAAACATGGACTCAAATAAAGAGTGAACACTATTGTGATCATGAATGACCATGTGTGTGCTATGTATCTGTCTAGACCATGTGTGTGCTATGTAT